GTGTGTGTGTGTGTGTGTGTGTGTGTGTGTGTGTGTGTGTGTGTGTGGTGGTTGGCAGGGTGGTGGGGAAGAACAACTTCTATCATTATAAGTCAGCTACAGAGAGTTTGATGTCTGATTTTATTCATTGTCACAAAGCTTGACTTTCTAAGCTTGGGGAATTTGATGATTCAGGTGGCTGCCTCAGTTTCCCAGTGTGCTCAGCCTTCAGAAATCCAAACGTATCAAGTCTGTGGAGATGCCTAGAGAAGCAGGGCAGGTTTAATCTTGCCACCCTAAGATTGAGCTTTGTCTCCATGTGGGACTGCTCAGCAGTCATGATGAGAGGGTGCACTTCTTTCCATTGTCCCACTTAGCTCACCATGTCATTAGAACAGCGACAGCCATTATGAGGCCATGTGGCCCTTCTCACGCCGAGTGACACAGCTGTCGTTTTCTTGGGGCCATCACATCAGCAAATTGGAGCAGTGGGCTTTTGGAGTCACATTTTCAAATCTGAGTTCCGCTTGTCTGTCAGTCTGGCTGTCTATCATCTATCTATTTTTTTAGAGATAGGCTCTTGCTCTGTCACCTAGGCTGCAGTAGAGTGGCACTGTCATTGTCAGTGCGGCCTCCAGTTCCTAGGCTCACATACGCCCCAACCTCAGTCCCACAAGTAGACGGGATTACAGGTGTAAACCACCATGCCCATCTCTCTATTTGTATTTTCTTGAGCAAGAACTTTAACTCTCTGTGTCTAAGTTTCTTATCTCTGACATGCAAATGAAACTATTAAACCCATGTGGTTTTTCTGCAGAGAGATGACAATAGCATTTTGAAGTCATCTCACTACAGTGATGGGAGCGGGGTTAGTGGAATAGATGAAATGAGATTATTATTATTGTTATTATTTTACAAATGCGGAAAAGGAGCCTCACAAAAGTTTTCCTTTCCCAGGTTTGCACGGGGAGTGACTGGTGAAAACCCTAGCCTTCTGGGCACAATTACTTACTTACTGCCAGACTGTGAGCCACTTAGCAGCAAGGACCTTGCCATGCTCTTCGTCTCCAGGGCCTGGCTCTGGCATTCACTTTGTTGATCTCATCCTTTACTTCTTTTTCCTTCTCCTCCATGTCCCACACTAACACCTCCACTGTCAAAGCGCTTGGCTTGTTTCTGCCTCAGAGTTTTTGGGGCTTGCTGTTCCTTCTGCCTCAAATGCACTTCCCCTACATCTCTGCATGGAATGCTCCTTTACTCTCTTAGAAGTCTTGCTCCAACATCACATCTCAGTGTGGACTTTGCTAACTACTTATTAAAAAGACTTACTCCTCTCCAGCACTTCTTACAGCCCTCTCATCCTTATTTTTCTTCATAACATTTACCAACATCTGACATACTATATACTTGATAGACTCGATTGATTTATTGTTCACCAACCTTCACTAAACATAAGCCGTGTCCTCAGAACTAAACAATGCATGTAAAACAGCCCACAGTCTATAAATTACGCTATGCATTGATTGAAAGAGTAAATAAATGTGTTTGGAGAGGCAAGGGTCTGTGCATGAATGCCTCTTGCCCTGATGATGTTTGTGGCAGAACACTTAACTGCATGTCCCCATGTGATTGCTCCTTGCCAAACCCCTTCTCTGGAGATCACTGAAAGTCACTAATTGTGATCTCAGCTGTGTACTTTGTCCTTCCTTCTTTGTGGAGTGTCTTTGAGTTCCCACAAGGGCCAGGAGAGCTGTCTGTTCTGGAGCTTTTCTCTGCAGCATGATCAAGATGGGTAATGTAGTATTTAACTTCAAATATTTTTTATCTCTGAGTACAGCTCTTTAGAAATTAATTCACCTAGGTTGTTGAGGTTTGTTTGTTTTCAGCTGCTGAGTTATTTCTTCTGTGTCTGAGTTCTTTCTCACCTGTGCCTGAAGTTCTAGGAAAATGTTTCTTAGAATGCTAGAAAACATTGAGTTTTGGTTAAGTTATGTTACCTGAGTTTTGGCAAATTATGTTCTGTACAAAGGGCTCCCTCTAAAGTGTGGGCAGAAGTCTTATCCTTTAATTCTTTTAAAAGACTCTTTTATGCTTTTTGAAATGTTTAAAAAATAACTTATTCTTTGAGTAGAAGTCCTATAAAAGTTAATGAAGTTAGAAATTGCCTAATAATACAAATCATATGGAAGTTTTCTCTATGATTGATGTTATGAATGATGGGCTTAGTGGATCACAGTGGCGTCAGAAGTGGACTAAAGATCAGGTGACCTAGCTAACTGATCTGTGTAACTTACTCATTGCGTGACTTTAGGCAAAGCATTTGATCTTTCTAAGATACTATCCTTCATATGCAAAGTGAAGACTCTAGGCCGAGGGTGTCCGATCTTTTAGCTTCCCTGAGCCACATTGGAAAAACAAGTATATCCTTGGGCCACACATAAAATACACTAACCCTAACAAAAGCTGATGAGCTAAAGAAAATCAAAAAAAGCTCATAATGTTTTAAGAAAGTTTAAAAATTTGTGTTGGGCTTCATTCGAAGGCGTCCTGGGCTACCTGCAGCCCACAGGCTGCTGCTTGGACACACTTGCTGTAGGCTACAGGTCCAGCTGATATCCAAGTTTCTTTTCATCTTTAAAACGCTAGACTGGAAGCATAAAGACTTGTATCTTAGCTTGGTTACAGCCACGTACCACTACTAGAGCCCTGGGTAAGTCAGTTTCCTTTCTAGAGGCTCAGTTTCTCAGTCTTTAAAATGACCATTGAGATTTCTATTTTGTGTTTTCCTGAGGGTATTGAGAGAATTTCATCTGGGCACTTAGATGGGAAAGTACTTTTTAGCCATACAGTCTTATTGTTATTAGAAGCCATTTCTTATTTTACTGTGATTTTGTGGCAATATGCCACCAGAATGGTTGGATAAAAGAAGATGAAAAGTCAGTGGACATAGTACTGATGATTTTTGAATTGTACTTTTAAAACCTATTGGGTTTGTGTTTCCCTTTTGATTTTTTTTTTTTTTTTTTAAATCCCCACTTTACATCTTAAGTTCTTGACTTGAGCTTTGGGAAAGTGTTCACAGCTTTCATAAAATTTTTCAAAGGAGTATTTGATATACCAATTTTTTTCAACCCTGTGATTTTCTGTGGTTGTTTCCGCCCGGAATTCCTGAGAGGAGATCTTTTCATGCTGCTTCTGATCATATATCCAGTCCTCCTTGCATGGACATTAACTGGTAATACTTAGAGAATCACAGATGTCAAGAGAATGACTGTTTGCAGGACTAGCTTGCTGCTTTCTGGAAACTGAAAGCTAATGGACACCTAATCAAGGCTGGTTCATTTTTTAGGGATAACCCAATTAAAAACCTGGATTAACTGACCCTGACCTACTAGTTTGGCTCTTGGAAGCCATTTAGTATTCTATTATCTTTATTTTGGTCTTTTTAATCTCTAAAGAATACTTCTAAGTTAGACTGTAATTTTTTTTTTTTTTTTGAGATGGAGTCTTACTTACTCTGTTGCCCAGGCTGGAGTGCAGTGGCGTGATCTCAGCTAACTGCAACCTCCACCTCCCAGGTTCAAGCAATTCTCTTGCCTCAGCCTCCTGAATAGCTGGATTATGGGCACGTGCCACAACACCTGGCTAGTTTTTGTATTTTTAGTAGAGACAGGATTTCACCATGTTGGTCAGGCTGGTCTTGAACTCCCGACCTCATGATCCACCCACCTTGGCTTCCCAAATTGCTGGGATTACACGTGTGAGCCACCGCTCCCAGACTAGACTGTAAATTTTAATGAGCAAAGGTTGAAGTTCCTCCAGACGGGGGAAAAAGGATTATTATTCAGGTTAGTGACCCCACAGCTCTGGGCAAAGCTGCAGGGATGCAGCAGATTGGAAAGGAGATGTAGTCTAGATTCAGCAGATGGGGAAGGTGGCTTGGTCTGGGAGGAGTGGTCTAGATTTGATATCTAGGGAAAGAAGGTGGTCTAGGAGGTATGGTCTAGAGACAATTGATAGAGAAGGGGGTGTGGTCTAGATTCAACATTCAGGAAAGTATGGCTTGTATTTAACAAACAGAAAAGGGAGTGTGATCTAAATCCAACAGACAGGAAAGTGGGTGTGGTCTGGATTCAACAGATAGGGAAGAGGATGTGGTCTGGATTCAACAGACAGGAAAAGAGGGTGTGGCCTAGATTCAGCGAAAAGGGAAGGAGGGTGTGGCCTAGGTTCAGCAGACAGGAAAGGGGGTGTGGTCTAGATTCAACTGACAGGAAAGGGTGTGGCTTAGAGTCAACACAATGGGAAAGAGGGTGTGGCCTAGACTAAGCAGATGGAGAAGGAGGTGTTGTCTGGGAGGTGTGTTTTAGATTCAACAGATGGGGAAGGAGGTGTGGTCTCACCCGCTGGGGAGGATTGAGGAAGATTGTGGGCAACTCACTAACAACAGGTCCTGCTCTTTCACTGTCATTCAGGGTGGCAGTACCTGTACTAGGGTTGATAATCTAATTAAGGAAGCCTAATATAGAGCCAGGAGTCAGGTGGTGTTTACAAGGTACATAAAAGATCTTGGACTCAAAAGGCATGGAGTCCAGTTCCATTTAGCTGGAAAATCTGTGGCTTATATCATCTCCAGCCATCATAAAATGGGGACAGCACCATGAAGAAGAAATGAGAGTACAAAAGAGAAAGTATTTGGCAAACCCAGACAGTCGTTAGAAAGGAAATGTCAAATGAGTGCACAGACAGAGGGAGATTGGAGGAAACTGCGAGACCCTTTCCTTTCACTATTGCTATGTTCTGACAAGGTCTGCTGTCTTCCTGTTAAATGGGAGGTGAGTGTGGAGTGGAGAAAGCGAGTTGTTTGGGCCTCAGGCCTCAACCTGCACTTGAAGCCTACACCAGCTCACCTTTGCTACCCTGCAGAGAAGGCAAAAGCAGTTAATGACAAAATGTCAGAAAGGCACTTGGGGGCTTTTAGAAATTCTCACCAGGTGCGTTGGGGGGCTAGGGAAGGAATAGCAGGGCGTGGGGAGTTTGGGGAGGGATAGCTTTAGGAAAAATACCTAACGTAAATGACGGAGCGATGGATGCAGCAAACCACCATGGCGTGTGTATACCTATGTAGCAGACCTGCACGACCTGCACATGTACTCCAGAACTTAGAGTATAATAAATAAATTAAAATAAAAATTCTCACCAGGTAAGATTGCACACACATAATATCAAATATACAGAGCTGCCATGGTTGCATTATTATTTTATTGTTTTTATTATTAGTAAAACTTTATCCAAAGGGTTCATTTTAAAAAACGTTGTCGGACATGTTTAAGTAAATGACCATAATATTTCTTTTAAAATTTTGCATAAGAGAAGGCTACCCAGAAGCCTTGTACTTGGCAAGCAGAAATTAATCTAAACTGTTTTCTGAATTTACCAAGTGTTTGCCTGAACAGACAAGGAGCCTAGGGGTACTTCTTGTGGGTGTGATGAGTTGTGAATCCCAATATAAGATATCTGAAAAAAAAAAAGTCTGTTCTAAGAGAGAAAAGAAGTTTCTAAGTGTTTGGCAAAACAGGCTTTTTTTTTTCTTTAGTTTTATTCAAATCAGTCTTCCCAAGCATTCAGGGAGCAAATTTTTTGTTTGTTTGTTTGTTTTTGTTTTTTAAAATAAGTTCTGGGATACATGTACAGAATGTGCAGGTTTGTTACATAGGTATTCATGTGCCATGGTGGTTTGCTGCACCCATCAGCCTGTAATCTCCAGTAGGTATATTTCTTAATGCTATCTCTCCCCTAGCTTCCGACCCCTGGACGGGCCCTGGTGCATGATATTCCCCTCCCTGTGTCTGTTCTCATTGTTCAACTTGCACTCATAAGTGAGAACATGTGGTGTTTGGCTTTCTGTTCCTGTGTTAGTTTTCTGAGAATGATGGTTTCCAGCTTTATCAGTGTCCCTGCAAAGGACATGAACTCATCCTTTTTTATGGATGCATAGTATTCCGTGGTATATATGTGCCACATTTAAACTAAGAAAAAAAAATAGGAATGTGGGGATTTCAAAGATTTTGTGATTTTATTTATCACCTAATATATATGTGGAGCTTTCTTGCATCTTATTAGCACAAGGGCAAAGGAAGATGCAAAAGAAATAGAAGACCATCTAAGCCCTCAGATGGTCTTCAGGCTCTTCAAGGGACAAGATATAGATAGATAAGAAATGACAATTTTTGAAGGCTGTATGGTTTTGTGGAAACATTGTGATATTTTGAACCAAATACACTTGGGTTCTAGGCTGGATTCACAATAGGAATGGGACCTGGGACTTGATAGCTCATGACTTCTGTGCCTCTGTTTCCACTACTACAAAATGAGAATAATCATAACTTGCCTTCTCGGATTGTAAAGATGTACTAGCATGAGGAATGTACATTGCTTAGCACAGAATGTAAAGCCTAGTAGGTTCTCATGAATATAATTGTTTTCATTTCTTCATTTCTCCCTTCTGTTTTATGCTCTGTTATAGTAGACATAGAGGCATGTGGTTCCCTGGGAATTTTGAAGAATATAGGCTGCGATAGGAAATTCCTCCTGGAGCAGGAGGGCTTCACTTGGGCCTTTGGCTGTCTTCTGCTTGCCCCTCCAGGGGCTCTCACTGCCCTATTCTCATGCTCTGGGAAGCTGACCCGTGTGGACTGCATCCATTTCTCTTTCATCTGTGAGTTTTCTGACCCTTTGGCCACTTACGGGGATTAGCCAGTGCTGGGTCCTAGCAGGAGGCTAAGGAGCGGG